AAAGTGTAACTTTAATGTGGCCGAAAAAGGAGGGAGATGCCAGTCGACGTCTTGACGTCCTAAAGCGTCTCCTTTAATTGAAAAGCTACCCTGCCCCGTTGTGTCCCCAGTTTTCCGGCTTCTGTTTGGAAATTTCTTCGATCCATCAATTCACGCCGTTTTGCTCGTTTTCTTAATCTATTCCTTGCCATTCGCGCCGATATACAAAGGACATTTAAATCCATTGAATACGATTCTTCAGTAAAAGGTCTAGGAATAGTGTGAATACTCAGCAAAAAAAGTAGTAAACGTTGCAAATGTGTACGAGCAAACAAATCAGAAAACTATTGGTGGAAATCCCCCCAATAAATATGGATGTCGTCCCGATGTAGTATGGGGGATCGAGTGGCGTACGGCGGGCGTCAAACTTAGGGGTTGAGGCCGGGATATGAGCGATTGACTTTTTAAGAGATTGGTTTTTCGAGCAAGGCATTATTCGCATCTTCATAAGCGCTGACTTTGCCAGTTCCTCCACCACTTTACCAACTCACCCTCCACGCCAATCGACTACTAATCATCGAGTATGTCCCTCCGGAACACGCGAACACGCAGATAGATCGGCAGCGTTGTGGTGCAATGAATTCCGACCGATTCCATTTTATTCATTCCTGTACGCGCATTATCAATACCGCAAATTAACCAGCGTTTGAAGCATACTTAGCGATGAGTGTAATTTGAATGTTGTAAATTTGTGTTTATGCAAAGCGCTCTACTAGTCAGCCTTTTATAATCCATTCGAAACGCGGGCATTAAATAGAACGAACGTTTGATTCTAGATTTAGATTTTCGATTGTACGAAAACAAATTGACAGGAAAAAAAAACAAAAAAAAAATATAACATGCCACATTCACTTCGTATATCTAGTTGAAACGGGTCCACTCACGTTCGATTGAAAATTAAAATTTAAATTACCGGGCTGTTGTTTTGCGAGCACGGCGCCATGTAATAACGTATAAAACTTCGGGGACGCGCTTTCCACAGGATTAGGATATGCTGCGCCCGGATCCCCGTCTAGATTAAAGTGTTTCCTGCGCGAAGCGCGCGATAAATTTAACACTAAGTTTAAATTACACGCCCACCGCGAAATACTTATCCCGGCCTTGTCAAACAACGTGTTATAATCGCGTGTGCCGCCGCCAGGTCTCCTGGGGATGGAAGCGCCCGGGTCGAAATTGGGAATTAACACCTACTTTTGGTAGGGGCTACACGCCGTCGCGGGATGTGCGGTTTGCATCGCAATCAACGCCCCTAACGAGCCGCTGATGTTTGATGATAGCCCAGTGCGTTTCCTGAATAATACGTTTCGAACAATTCAACAATTCTCCTAAAGTTATATAGCATCATCAAAATTCACAATTATAATCAGTTACAATTTTGAACTACTTACTTATTTAAATATCAAGATGTAAATAGATTTTGTTAGGTTTTAATTCTTTCTTTTTGTAGACTTTTTGTAATTTTGTAATCTAGGATGAGTATATCTGCTCGGTTGTTGCAATCGCCAGGGAAGCTGTAAAGGCTAAGTAAAGGAGAAGTTATCTTTGAGTTGTTATACCCAATTCTACTCCAAAGCAACATCAAGCAACTTAACCCAACTCCAAAGGATCTTAATCACAAAGTAATCCAACTTCAAAGCAAGCTAACGAAATCCAAAAAAAACTCAATCGCAAAGTAATTCAACACTCCAACAACTGACCATAAAAAACCAAATGAAGCTTACAACAACCAACCCAACTTATTGTAATTTAAATTTGACACGCACACAAACTAACTCTAAACCAACCTAACTTAATCTTAAAGATCGCTAGGGAAGCTGTAAAGGCTAAGTAAAGGAGAAGTTATCTTTGAGTTGTTATACCCAATTCTACTCCAAAGCAAAATCAAGCAACTTAACCCGGCTCCAAAGGAACTTAATCACAAAGTAATCCAACTTCAGAGCAAGCTAACGAAATCCAAAAAAACTCAATCGCAAAGTAATTCAACACTCCAACAACTGACCATAAAAAAACCAAATGAATCTTACAACCAACCCAACTTATTGTAATTTAAATTTGACACAAACACAAACTAACTCTAAACCAACCTAACCTAATCTTAAAGATCGCTAGGGAAGTTGTAAAGGCTAAGTAAAGGAGAAGTTATCTTTGAGTTATTATACCCAATTCTACTCCAAAGCAAAATCAAGCAACTTAACCCAACTCCAAAGGAAGTTAATCACAAAGTAATCCAACTTTAAAGCAAGCTAACGAAATCTAAAAAAAACTCAATCGCAAAGTAATTCAACACTCCAACCATAAAAAAACCAAATGAAGCTTACAACAACCAACCCAACTTATTGTAATTTAAATTTGACACGAACACAAACTAACTCTAAACCAACCTAACCTAATCTTAAAGAGTGCCAAGCCAACTCCAAAGCTGTCGAATCCATCCCAGAAATAATCCAAAGCAATTCTGAAATAACCTAAACCAAACCCAAAAGAAACTTAACCACAGAGTATTCGCCTTATGTACAAGATGTCCTGTTAAGGGTACGGAGCGGCTGTATCGCGACAACGGTAAGGAATAGAGGTTTGGGAAAAAAAATCTTTATAAGCAAAGTTGGCAAGAGAAATAGAAATAGTTTGAAGTTCGTAATTCTACCGCTAGGGGGCGTAACTGCCATAGAGAGACAAAATTCCCGCTATCTCAGAAAGTTAAACGATGAGCTATAACTTTGACAACATCATTTAGTAGCTTGGATAATACCGCATCGCTTTTGTTTTGCGATATTTATCATATCAATGCGTTTTCAACTGTTTACATTTTAATATCTCTGGACCATTCAACCGATTTGAATATTTTTGGTTGAAAGAACATTTTATGTCCTAACTGTTTAGGAGCATTCGATTGGAAACATTACTATACAGGCTCTCCATAATAGCGATTCGTTATTCTTTAATTATAAGAAGACGTTTTTTGTTGTTTTGTTGGCACTTGTTGATCCAAACTACAATTTCATAGCCGGTGATGTTAGTGCATAAGGAAAAATCAGCGATGGGGAGATTTTGGCAAATTCCAGTCTAGCAAAAGCACCTCAACAAAACAATTTGTCAGTTCCATAAAATGCTGCTTTGCCAAATACAGCTACTGAAGCTTCATTTGTAATTGTAAGTGACGAGGCCTTTCCCCTGAAAACTTATTAAATGCGACCATATTCCGAACAAGATTTAGATGGTCCTAAACCCATTTTCAATTACCGTTTATGTCGTGTCAGAAGGATTGTTGGAAACGCATTTGGCATTTTGACACAAAAATTCAGAATTTGTAACAGACGAATTAATTTCCTTCCAAATACCATACAAAATCGGATAATCTCTATGCGTTCCTTTTTTGCACAGTTTACGTTTATACCAAACATGTGCATACAAAAACAAGTCAGTGAATATTGAAAAATATCGTTGCCGACGTACTTTTATTTTCACGACACTGATGCAATCGTGACGGTAAAAATCGTCAGGTAGTGTACCGGATGGGTGTGAACGTGTTCATATAAAATAAAGACGACCATATCATTTACCACTGATACTGATGCACGAATACAACTGACGCATCACTGATGTGTGTAAATAGACCTTAAAGCAATGAAACAACAACTGAAAGACAAGGTAATCCAATCTTGTCAAATCAACCAAACTCATTGTAATTCTAATTTGATACAAACATGAACCAACTCTATACCAACCTAACTTAATTCCTAATTCCAACCTGAAATAATCAAATTAAACTCTAAAGCAAGCTAACCAACCCCAAGCGAACTTAATTATAAAGTATCCTACTCCAAAGTAATCTAATGAAACCTGACAGCAACTCAATTACAAAGTAACTCAACCACAAAAAATTGAACGGCAATGCAAGCCAATCCAAGCCCAAAGCAATGCAAGACCAAAATAAGCAAATTGCACAACAATGAATTGGTTTGGGTTGGTGGTAGCTCTAAATCCAACTCCATAACAAAGAGCACAATAAAAAAAATTGAACTTCAATGCAAGCCAATCTAACCCCAAAGCAATGTAACACCGAAATAAACAAATTCCACAACAATGAGTTGGGTTGGGTTGGTGGTAGCTCTAAATCCAACTCCATAACAAAACGCTCAATAACCCAACCCAACTCATTGTTGTGGAAATTGCTTATTTCGGTGTGGCATTGCTTTGGGGTTGGATTGGTTTACATTACCGTTCGATTTTTTGTGGTTGAGTTATTTTGTAATTGAGTCAGGTTTCATTAGATTACTTTAGAGTAGGAATACTTTACGGTTAAGTTCGTCTGGGGTTGGGTTATCTTGCTTTAGAGTTAGATTTGATTGTTTCGCCTCTATCTTTCTTTGGGTAACCCAAACGAGGTTGTGTTGTTTCCCCTCCGGAAAATTACTCAAATTCCAATTTCTCATCTTTGTTATTCGTAAATATAACAGGTATTAGTCTCGTTATCAAATTTTTTGGGCAGAGGGAATACAATAATACTAAAACATTTAAATGCGTAGTGAATCCATAATAAATTTTATTGATTTATAAAACGATGTAATAGTAGATTATAGGGGATTTATACGAATAAAATAACTCCATTAATTATATAATGGATCTATTAAGTAAACGACCTTTTTAGTGACCATTAAAACATTTTAAATAGCACGTCAATCAGCTAATGCACTCTACTTTAAAGCTTTAGCACGGTGATTGTCTATTATAAATTTCAATAACTTTTTTTTTTTTCGAACGATCTCTATCTTTAATATTTTATTTCAGCTCTACTCGAGGTTTAAGTTGTTTCAGCACGAACCTATTTATACTGTTTGTTTCCGCCCTATTCAAAGCCAAAGTATACTTATGTTTATATGAGGGGTACGTACAGTACCGTTCGTGTCGCAATTATACGTGCTGTTAAATTGAAATAAACAGACGGGAGAACTTAAATAGACCGACACTTAGTCTTACTGTGTTGCAATTTTAAGTAGTACACGTAAACGATTTTCAGGTGCGCGTGATGGATTTAAAGCAACGATTTTTATTTTTTTTCATTACTTGTCTACGCATTAAACGAGATATCATTCATTGCATAACACGCAGTTTTTCGAGGGGGTCCTCAAGGAAAATCACCCGATATCAAACAAACATGGCACCGGGCCATTGTAATCAAAACGGCCCACAACTCATTCGACCTCGCATTTACGATACGGCACGTTATCGGACGCGAACCTATAAATACAAGTTCCGTTATCGCCGTTACAACTGAACTCGACCGGAGTTGGTTTTGAGAGCATATTGCATTGTGTTTTGGAAGTGTTATGGTCTTATTTAGTTTCTGCAACAACACCAACGACAGAAGGTAGGTTATTTAATTGGATTTGTTTTTATTTTCTTATGTGGTGGATTGAAGTTTGACGTTTAAACTTTTAGCTTTATGATGGGATACGAAGTATTCGACCCCGAAACGGGGGAAGTTCCGTTTTATTCCGCTGTAAATTCCGAAACGGGAGAAGTTGAAATTTGCGATCTTCACGATGAAAACGATAATATTACAAGAGGAACGTTTAAAATTCCTCAATCTTACTTCGAACATATTTTAAATGATAATGAAGGAAACATTAATGAAATGGCAAGGTTATTATTTATGTCGCCAAATCGATTAGGATGGAATATAATTGATCCTCAAGATTATCAATGTGATGATTATCAAAGTAATGATTATCAATATGATTGTGAAGATAATATAGAAGAAAAACAAAACGAGTCTAATTCAGAAAAGAAGAAAGATAATACAATAGTTCATCCCCTTATAGACCCTGTCATTCAATACACGTTAAACGTTGTAAACGTTGCATTTTACTTAGGGAAGCAATATCAAAGACCGTCGTTAAAGAAATTAAAAATAAGCGACATCTACTATCAGAGCTTGTTAAAAAGTTTTTTTAGGCATCTTGTTCCATTTATGTCGAATAATCACTTAAAAAGGAAAGGAATTAAATACGGACTTCATTGCGTAAAGAGAATTAGGGTATTTTGACTTGCTTTTTTTTTGTGGTAGTATTCTCAATTATTTATGAAAGACTGATATGAGCCGTTTGCGTCAAGTTGATGAACCTTGCGCTCAGATAATTTTAATTTAGAACAGATAAGATTGACCTAAACAGAAATAAAGAGAAATACGAATATCTCGATTCGTGTTTTTTATTATTATTATCACGGAGTATTAAGTTATTTTACATATTGTATTGTTCCTTTTATATGTATTAATAAAATGTTATTGTTCGATAAAATTAATATAACAATTTAAGAACAATTACTTAATTGAAAAATAAATGATTATTTAATGTATTGTGTTTTTCCTAAGCAGAAATTATACAATAAAGCCATTATAGATGCTATTTGATGTAATTCGTAATCAATTTTAATAATTTAGTTATATTATAACGTGATAATTACATGTAGTGTATGCTATTGTGATTGAATAATAAACATTAATTATAATACCGATAATAAATTATGTAGGAGGTTTGTAGCTTAAAGCTTCAACCCCACTAATCCTATTAGTGACATATAAATAAATGTCTTACTCATCTTTGTAATAGATAACTAAGTATTTTTTCTAATAAATTCATGGTAATCCGTATTTTTTTCATTTCCATAAAAGAAATTGAATTATTTTACGAATGGGAACCTTGACAAAATCATTATCTCACCAATTTCAGGTCTCCCTCGTAGTTACTTGGGACTCGTAATTTCTCCAATAACCTTTCTTTTATTTTCCTTAACCATACAGTAAGTTGTTGATATTGCTACCCCTATAAATGAAACATTGTTATTAGGCTCACAAAATTTTATCAACAATATCGGTCATTTTCATAAGCTTTATGTAATCTCCTGTTTTCAGGTTGCTTTTTATCTAAATCTAATGACTCCTGAAAATCCAACATCCCACGCTTGTTTGGAGGCGAAAATTGTTGTGAGCTTTTAGTGTTCACATTAAGTTCTAGAAGAAGTATCCCAAAAGCTTAATATAAAGAAGTTATATCTAAAATATTTAGAAAAATATGAAGCAGAAAAATGTTTACCTTCAAAGAATGAATGAGTCATTTTGAATAATATACTAAAAATGTTTTTTTATTTGTAGCTGCATTGTAAGAAAATATAATGATTTGATCATCCAACCCTATTTATCCAATTAAACCGAACCAGATTTATAAAAGAGATTTTTTCCTAGCAGTATGTAATAAGTGATGAATGTGGTTTTGTTAACCTGGAGATAGGATGGGGCTGGTTGGACTAATTTGTGTTGGTGGTTACTTTGGGTTAGGTTTAGTTTTTAATTTCTTCGAATTTTGAAATTTCGGAGTTACGATTTATTGATTGCAACCTTGCATGATCTCAAACGTATATGTTAGAGTAACTAATCTTTGCATATCTCAAAAACTAATTGAGATATAATCATGAATTAAAAAGCAATTTGAAGCCAATTTATGTAGTGTTTAATGTGTTGAAGATCATCACTTCGAATCTTTAAATTTCGGAGTTATGATTTTTTGATTAAATTAATAAATTTTGAAACGACTCACCGAGTGGATGTTGTTTTCCTTGGTTTTCACTTCGTAGCTCAGCTGGAAAGAAAAGTTAAATTAATCTATTGTGCCAAAAAATGAATTAATGCGATACCTTTTAGCATCCACAAAATAGCAATCCCATGGTCTCAACATCACTAATGTCACCAAAATCACTACCATCACCTAACACTTAGCACAAATATAATATGTATCTATCACTTAATTCGCGTAATAAGTTTTAATTTTCGCAACTACTTTATCACCCCACAAAGCCCGCACATCAACTAAAATGCGTTTTTGGCCAACCAATATCTCAACATCCCCTCCTTGGATGGCAATGCAGAGTAGAAATAGTGGAGGTGAATAAACAAAAAAACCTTTTCTGGTTTTAAAACTCCAGTTTAATATGATTAAGATAAATCTCGTGATTTCGATTGAAACTGGTTTGTTTATGAACGAATTAAATTTGGCTTGGGAACTTTGAGTTTAATTCGGTTAAGGATTTTGTGGATTCAATTTTCTTGTGTGTTGTTTGGGTGTGGATGAGCTGACTATAGCTTGGAAGATTCGGGTTTGATTCAGTTTTTGGATCGGATTGTTTTGCTTTGCTTAGGTTGGTTTTGGTTTGGTATGGACCAGATGTGTTTCTTTGGTATCATGGTTTATGTTAAATCTAATTTGGTATAGATGACTTAGGTTGGGTCTGATTTACGTATGTATTCGCCGGGTTTGGTTTGTGTGCAGGGTCGGCAGAATTGGTTTAGATGTGAATCAAATGGCTTCAGTTTCGATGTGTTATTTAATTTATTTAATAATTACCAATTTCCAATTTAGTTCAGATTGCTTACTTTTTATCATAAACTTTTAATGTTGCAAGAACCACGTTATTTAAGTGATAAGATGAGGTTCAGAACGGATATTCACAATCTAAATGTTAGAAATAAGGGTCTAATTTCTCCTCCGCAGCATGCAACAGTACTATTTCAAAGATCATTTACTTTCACCCTTTTGAAGTTTTACAATTCCCTACCGGAAACTTTGAAATCGGCACCAACAGCAGTATTTGCACGCAACTTAACATATCTATTATTCAGTGAACAGACTTCGTTATGATGAGTGAGCATTATAATTACAATTTTTATGTAAAATGTAAGCAAGACAATAGAAAAGGGAATATTTTGTTTTGTTTTTCCGTATTATAGATTAGTTTTCTTTAGTTATTTTTAGTTTGTAACTCTTTGTCTTTTGGTTTTATTTTTAAGAATGTATATATAGGGTGATTCGCAACCCTATACGCATAAAGTTGGGGATTTATTCCTCACGACAAATAAGGGCTAATAGGTGAAAAAAATTGCAGTAAAAGATTTTTGATTTCCTAGATATCCGATATATGCGGCGACATCTACATAAGGTGCTTCCCGGAAAGTGGACAGGTTGAGGTAGTTTATTGGCCTGGCTATCTCGATCGCTCAACCTCAATCCTCTTGTTTTTTTTTTTTGTTTTGGGATCACTTAAAAAGCATAGTGTACGTCACCAAACTTAATACTGAGCAAAGATTGCGAAATCATCTCCAAAGCGTACAGTATTTCCTTCTAGAAATCATCTTACACAGCAACACCAAACTATCTCATCTGTTTAGAACTGATACCACCATACTTATTTCATCTTATCTCATGTCCTCCTGGTTGCAAGAGTTGCCTACACAAATGATGCATGGCGAAATTTAGTAACGAGATGAAGAATGACATGTACGGATCACACAATGTTGAGAGCATCAAAAAGAATCAGATAGAACTCCGGTGAAAAAACGTCAGGCAGCCTTCCTCTGTTTCGTTGATCTAATTAAAACGTTCGACAAAGTATGAATAAAAGAATTAGAACAGGGCAAACATTAAAGTACAAAATCAAGATTGAGTGCTATGCAGATGATGTCGTCCTCTTGGCTGATACTGAGGATGGCATACAGTGGTTAACACAGGCATTTAACATTGCAGCTGAGGAAGTGAATATTGAGGAAGTTAAAACTGAACAAGGATTATAAAATCAGATAGTTGTATAGGCCGCGCTAGTGGGACATCGTGGATTCAGCGAACCCAATTGTGTATAGAAAATATTGGAAACGACTTGGAACACTTGCTTTGATGTCATTTTAAAATCTTATATGTATTCTTGATTTGAGAGTAAATTTCATGGATATCTACGAAACTAAAAAGCTTTTGCTACAATTTTTTTCACCTATTACTCATTATTTGTCATGAGGAATAAATCCCCAAGTTGAGAATCAGCCGATATATTTGTCTTTTTTTTCATTTGATTATTAATTTTGTGTTTTTTTTTAGTTTATATTTGTGTATAAAACAGGGTTGAGTGGAAGAGAAGGACNTCCTCCTGGTTGCAAGAGTTGCCTACACAAATGATGCATGGCGAAATTTAGTAACGAGATGAAGAATGACATGTACGGATCACACAATGTTGAGAGCATCAAAAAGAATCAGATAGAACTCTGGCGAAAAAACGTCAGGCAGCCTTCCTCTGTTTCGTTGATCTTACTAAAACGTTCGACAAAGTATGAATAAAAGAATTAGAACAGGGCAAACATTAAAGTACAAAATCAAGATTGAGTAAATATGCTATGGTTTTCTCCGTGTTCATCATGTATTTTAATTAGAGTGGTAGAAAATAAAATATTTTACTTCTATTTAGATGATGAAAATGTTTATTTATTTATGTTTTCGGTGCTTGTATTGCTATACGAATTTATCGTATTTCGAATAAAAAATTATTCGTCCTCAGGCACGACTACAAAACATGAAACATATAAACTAGGTGAGTGTCAAACTTAAAAATAACGGTGGTGAGAGCCTGATAAACGATATTATCGACTTTAATAACTTCAGACATTTCCATAGATTTATTAATGCATAAATGTAGTTTTGAATTTTTTTGAATTTTCCTGAATCACTATACAGGGTGAGTCAGAAAGAATGGGAAATCCGAATACCGGAGACACTAGACACCAAAATATGACGATTTAACCTAACATGTCTTATACAAATGTCGGTGGTTTTTAATACACAGGGTGTTGAAAGTTAAATTTTTATTTCAAAATTTCTTGATAATTTTGAAGCTCTTTGTACTATTAACATAAAATTTGGTAGTTAGATGTTTTCGAGCATGAGAAATACGAATTTGATATTTGTTTTGTGACTCGTAAAGGGCGCTAGATACACTGTACGTTTGAGATATCAAGTCATGACTATTTTGTCAGTTGAGGTGTGTATGGTGAATTAGAACCAGAAATCTGATGGAGTTTTCAATTCTGCACAAAAAAGGTACTCTTGCTTACATTGTCTAAGTCTACTGGTTTCCAAGTTATCTGCTTTTAATTGTTTCAAAGTAATTTTAAGGTTAACATTTAAAATCAATAACACACAGTAACTATAGTTATTAGTAACAATAATAATCGATAACAATAACAATTAATTAATAACAATAGAATATTGACCATTTTCAAAAATCCAGTGGACTTAAATCTGGGTTTCTCACAATTAAAAAACTCATTATGTCGTGGCATTTTCAAATTGGTAATAACTTTATTGTTGGTAAAAATGATCATTGCACACGGAAATTAGATCAATGTTGACTACTAACAGGCAATAGTCGAAACATAAGTGGAAAAATAACCCAACTTTGCTTATGTTAAAAAATAAATATTCTAGAAGAAAAAATACATTTAAACATTTAAAAATAAATAATTCGAAAACCGATAGACTTAGACAATTTCAATAAGAGTACCTTTTTTATGTAAAATTGAATGCTCTTTGTGATTTGCAGCTCTTATTGGTCGTAGCTGTCGAGCCAAAAAACTTATGATTTGATTTATCAAACAAGCAGCGTGTATCTAGCGCCCTCTACGAGCAATAACAAAACAAGTTTCAAATTCGTATTTCTCATGCTCGAAAACATAAGACTACCAAATTTTATGTTAATAGTACAAAAACCGTCAAAATTATCAAGAAATTTCGAAATAAGAATTTAACTTTCAACACCCTGTGCCTCGAAAACCACTGACATTTGTATAAGAGATGGTACGTTAAATCATCATATTATGGTGTCTCGTATCTCCGGTATTCGGATTTCCCATTCTTTCTGACTCACCCTGTATATTGCTGATTTTGGTTTGAGTTTTATTGTGATTTTTATTCTGGCTTTTCGCTTATCGAAACAATTGAGACATTTTATGAAAGCATTTGCACTTGCGCACGTGTTTTGTTTTACATCTGACAATTTTTATACCTGTTTATTTGAAACCCCACCTTTTCTAACCCTGTTTGAACCACAAAAACCGCAGTTCTACATTTGTCTTCAAAAGCTTAAGATCTTTACCTTACAACGAAGAATATTAATATTTGGATCGTATTAAAAGTTTTCCTACACCTCAAATTTATCAAGAATGTTTAACATCATTTTTAATGCCTAAACAAATTGACGGTAAATATATTTTTAGTAATGTTTTAATAGTATTTAGTTAATTTTAACCTTTAATTTTTAATATGTACTGTGAAATAAGTTTTGTTCAATGTATTATAATGTTTAAGTAAGACACTCACCTAGTTTATATGTTTCATGTTTTGTAGTCGTGCCTGAGGACGAATAATTTTTTATTCGAAATACGATAAATTCGTATAGCAATACAAGCACCGAAAACATAAATAAATAAACATTTTCATCATCTAAATAGAAGTAAAATATTTTATTTTCTACCACTCTAATCAAGATTGAGTGCTATGCAGATGATGTCGTCCTCTTGGCTGATACTGAGGATGGCATACAGTGGTTAACACAGGCATTAAACATTGCAGCTGAGGAAGTGAATATTGAGGAAGTTAAAACTGAACAAGGATTATAAAATCAGATAGTTGTATAGGCCGCGCTAGTGGGACATCGTGGATTCAGCGAACCCAATTGTGTATAGAAAATATTGGAAACGACTTGGAACACTTGCTTTGATGTCATTTTAAAATCTTATATGTATTCTTGATTTGAGAGTAAATTTCATGGATATCTACGAAACTAAAAAGCTTTTGCTACAATTTTTTTCACCTATTACTCATTATTTGTCATGAGGAATAAATCCCCAAGTTGAGAATCAGCCGATATATTTGTCTTTTTTTTCATTTGATTATTAATTTTGTGTTTTTTTTTTAGTTTATATTTGTGTATAAAACAGGGTTGAGTGGAAGAGAAGGACTTGCGACTTGTATACTTTCATTGTTAAGTTATAGATAATATAATGATTTCAATTAATAAAAAAGGCATTATTAT